ACCTGCAAACCAACAATACCTCTTGCCACTCTTTGATAGGAAATGGCACAGAAACAGTTATGTCTTTTGAACCCTCTGGTAAGATAACCTACACCAGAGAAAGTGGCCACCAGAAATTACCAATTTTGCAAATGAAACCTTAATGCCGTATATAAATGCAAATACTTCAGAAAACCCAACCATAAATACAATTCTTGAAACATAAAAATATCACAATATGCCAATAAACTTGGATACAAACTACAGAACCTATCCAGATAAAGCATGTAATTTCTAGGCGCTTTAATCATATACATTTCTGGAAAAGGGCTTAGGAGTTGATTGACTTAGGCTCAATCTGAAGTTCTGAGCAGAAATGAAAATCCAGTCGGCCCAGATTCTCAAGACAAATTTCACTGTGGCTTCTCAATCAAGTAGAGAAATGCTACACCTACTTTGGACGTAGGAGCAACTCTTAGGCAAGCCACAGCTTGTCATAATCTGTAGCATTTTTTTTATAGACCCGTGTTGCAAACAAAATACTAGAAACAGATACTCAGCAGAAATGGGAGGCAGAAGCTCCTGCTTTGGCAGTTGATCCTCATGACAAAAAAGCAACTAAGAAAAATATAGAAGCTAAATCCAGAACAGAAGTGTTACAACAGCAATACCTTCACAATGAGATTGTCAATCACCAACTCATTCATTGGAGAGCCAAAAGAGATATTTAGAAAACGTTGTCCCTCTGACTGAAACAAGAAGTCATGAAGGGGAAGGCCATAGCCAATGGTAAAAGAAGTTTTCCAGCCACCAAACAATGGATACCTGGGTTCGATTTCCAGCAGGGTCTGCAATTAGAGGGGAAAGAAGATTTAGTGAAATCATCCAATGCACCCAAAAGAAACTTAGCTTTCAAATAGGCCTATATGACTACCTTAGTCGAATCACCCCATAAGTTAGATGTTGAGATATTGCCGATCTCATCCCTATAATAAACAGAGTGAGCCCTCGGGGGTAATCTGGCAATAAGATGCCTGAATGCTGATGCACCTCTTAGATAAGGTCGAGCCTGATAGTCTAGCCTGTAATGTCAAAACATGACAAAACGTAAAGCTTCAACATTGGATGGAACAGAACATGCCAAAACTGAAAATAGAATATGGGAAAATAAAAAACCTTGAAAACTCGCCAATGCCCTCTGCACCAGCATGGATTAGATTGTAGTGCTCTGTGATTTGCACATTACCCCAGTGGGAAATCTCTATCTCACGCACCAAGTCTTTAGCAACAGCAAAAGGTCCATTGCTAGCAAAATGAACCACTATCGGGGTGTACGAGAAAGGTGGAATATTCTCATAAGGTCCATATTTGATTTCTGAACCAGAAAGCTTTGCATTCTCAAGCTTTGTATATGATTCAACCCTTGGCTCAGGCAACTTAACAGTAAAGGACTGTGCCTTGACCGCATAAGGAGAGAGATAATAAGCACTATCCTGGAACACCACAAGCTGGGTATCAGCTTGAGTGATCTTCTCAGGGAATGGTCGCAGTGCATGCGTGAAAACTGCCCTAATCTCGAGTGTCAACTGCCCCCCTTTACCCAATTCCTTGGGTAGAGACGCAGAATACCAAGCCAATGAGATGGGCATTCCTTCCGGGTTAACAACCTTAATAGGAAGGGCCTGGGAAGAAGTTTTTGATTTCCCTTTCTCTTCAGTAGTAGTTGCCGTCAAGAAGGCCAAATTTTTGGACTGGTGATCGGGGAAGGGCAGCAAAACCTCTGACACACTATCAGTTCCATTGTTTTCCAGCTGAACAAAAATAAAAAATAAAAAAAAAAAAAAGATTTGGCAGACAAGAACTCTCAAAATGTAAGCTTAAGATGAAAGAAATCCAATAAAAAAAACACATAAATCAAGTCATCGTGGCCGTTAAGTAGTAGAAGCGAATAGTGCACCTTGAGGGTAGTAAATAAGCGGACGTGCTGTGATGTCAAATCAACCTGCAAAGGAAAGGCACGGGGAAGTTTAACTTTAAGAGCTCGGCAAAAATTATGGTTGAGTATAACTACAAAACTCAAATATCAGTGCAGCTACGGAGCCGGTTAAAGATGAGTAAGTCTGCAGTTTTAATCCAACAATGAATCGTTCGAGAAACTCCGCGATGCAGAAATACACTTTAAACTTTGTTCAAGATTATATCTTCTCCAATTATTTAGTACCAGCAGTAAATTAAACGATCTCCACCATACTAGCTCTGACTTGAGCAATTGTGCCATCAAAGGTTACTTTACACGAATCCGCACTCGGAAACGAGAACATTAAGTCCGATAGTAAGCCAGTCCTTAATAAACCCTCCATATAATTTCCACACCCCAGAAGAAAAATAAAAAGACTAAACACGCACGCACGCACTAACATAGATATACATACATATATATATATATATATATATATAGCAGGAGGGAGGGAGAGAGAAGAAGAAGTTAGAAGAGGTACATACACGTCGATCGACCTTGGAGATGACAAGATCGGACAGCACAGGTGCGAATAGTACGGAAAAGCTGATTGCTAATAAGACCAATGATAGATCACACCCACCAATTTTCCTCATCTTTCTGCGTCTTTTTCTTCTATTCTTTTTTATTTTATAAATTTTGCACCTCTGGAGATGATTTTGACAAAACGCAGCAAAGTTAAAAAAAAAAAAACTTCAATGATGGTTGATGGATGAAGTAATCAATCGATTCTGAAGGAGAGGGGGGCGGGGGGAAGAAGAATGGAAGAGGTGGGGACGACGGCGTTTAACGTCTTTGCTCCGTCCTCGGCCACCAGCAGTATCTCCCTCAGTGATGCGGCTGCTATTTGAGTGAAACCGGTTACTCTCTCTTGAAACTGGTTTAACCCACCTTTAACTGGAATTTTGCGACCCAACCAAATTCAGATGCATTTACCGAAATGCACTACATGTGTTGTCAGAGTGTGGTACTGTGGATTTGTATTTGTATTTGTATTTTAAAAATTCTTCCATCCAAAGTCAAAGAATTGGCCTTGTTTAGCAAACAAGTTTTTTGTCAAGTTCTGTCTGCCACAAGTTTTGAACTACAGTAACCTCAAAAAAATTTTCAAAATTTTTAAACCATACACTTTAAAATATTAAAAAAAAAACACTTCAAAATTTTTTGAAAAAACTTCCATAGTAAGTTACAGTAAAGTTTTAGATAAACACCCAAAAAATTCACTTGCCAAATAAGGCCAAAATGTGGGAGAAATTATGCAAAAAGAGAGAGCTATTTATCAGGAAATAAATCATTCAAGAAGTCCCTCTTATTTTGTTAAAGTAAGTTACAGTAAAGTTTTAGATAAACACCCAAAAAATTCACTTGCTAAATGGGGCCAAAATGGGGGAGAAATTATGCAAAAAGAGAGAGCTATTTATCAGGAAATAAATCATTCAAGAAGTCCCTCTTATTTTGTTAAATGAATTTTTTGGTTCTTCACTTTTAAAATGGTAATTTTACATTTCTTATAAAATCAAGTCGACAAAATTGGTTTCAATCTAAATTTTTGGTTAAATTTTTTACCCTAAATCCATCACATAACTCACACATGATCTTTTTTTTAAGACAAAAAATGTTAAATCTCACTCGTAATTAAGCAAATGAGTTGATTTACAGTCAACTTTGCCTTTAAAAAAGAGAATTTGACTCAAACAACATTCAATTTTTTCCTTAAAAGAGTGACATCTAATGATATGACCTTTTTATATATAAAAAATGATAGCATGTAGGTCACAGCGTAATTTCTATCAAAATAAACAAAAACTACTAGTTTTTCCTTACCTTATTAAAAATATTTTCCTTTTGTCAATAACTTCTTTCTTTTGTTATGGAATCACTTGGACATTAGTCTTTTTTGGCTTCCTAATTTTCCAACTCAAACACTTCAAAAATCCATACGGCTGCTCTAATTAATTTATAGCATAAAAAATATGATTGGACTAAAAAAATTTTAAAATATTCCTATCCCTATTTTCAAAAATCATTTAAACCTTTAATCGATGAATATATTTAAATACTGACTGGGAAATACTTGTCGTATGCTTTCTATTTTAGGAAAAATCGTTCAAAACATTCCTCACATTTCACAAAAATAATTTTTTGTTTAGTTAACTTTTAAAATGTTAACTTTACATCCATAATAAATTCAATTAACAATTTTAGTTTCAACCTAAATTTTTAACTATTTTTTAATCTAAATACCACGTGATTCCTATATAGTCATTTTTAATGCACAAAAAGGTCAGATTCTATAATTTTCAATGACAAATGAATACAGATTGAGCCAAAATTCCACTTTCTGACCCACATTTTAGAGAAAGATGAATATAATTTAGATCAAATCCCACTTTTTTAGAGACAAAAATGAATATCAGATAGAGTCATTTGTTTAACTACAGATGAAATCTAACTTTTTTGCTTCTAAAAAATGATCATGTGTAATTCACATGATGGATTCAAAGTGAAAATGATAAAAAATTTAAGTTGAGATCAAATTTTACCGACTTAATTGTATAAAAGACATAAAGTTATTATTTTAAAAATGAGGGACGAAAAAATTTATTTAACAAAATATAAGAAACGTTATAAATGATTTCACTTCATTTTTACACCAAATTCAATGAAACATGTTGTAAAAGATTATCCTACCTACTCAAGACTTGCATACGCTTCAAACTCATCATTTTGTGCACATTGCAAAGAACGTCATAATCATACAGCAATATGCGCATTAGTAGTAAGGTCGCTGAAATAACTTGATTCAGACATGTTGGAAGATGGCATGATTAATCCAGTATTGTGTTTTTTAAACTTCAGATGTGACTACAGAAGATCTTCAGATTAGATGAGAAATCGTAAATTTTTTAAAGTCCAAATTGCTGCTCTAATTAATGATTCCTGTTGGTTTCAAAATTGGAACCAAAACCATGAAATGGATGAGAACTTAGAAAAGAAGATTGTATGACGGTAGCATTTCTAAGGCACAAATCCAATGGTGGTAAAACTGGAAATATTAGAGTGCTAAACCTAATTACAGAATCCATCGCACCGCACCACCGCAGGAACGGATGCGATTTTGCACCACCTAGTAGGAATATTACAATTACTAATCATAAGCAGTTAAACCGCAGTTCCCAGATGAGAAGCTCCAAGTGTTAAACTCGTTACCAGGGAAAAAGACATATGCAGATATATATTTAGAACAAAAGAAATTTCTTCTCCATTAACCTGAATACAAAGTACTCCTAAGGAGAACAGACTAATATAACTCGATCACCAGACTTCCATCTCATAAGCCCGGCAGCTGCTGGTCCTCTATTCAAATGTAACCAACTCTGCATCTAGCATCATATTTTCAGCTGAGAGCAAAACAAAAGGCAACTTAGTAGATGGAGTAGGAAATCAAAGGGACGTAACCCCTCTCTCATAATCACCGTCATTGTCCTTCCGGTGGTTTTACTTCTAGGAGCTCAATATTCAGATCAAACGTTGCCCCTGGCTGTAAAGTTATATCCACAAACTCAGCAATATCAGCACAAAGATCAGAATCACATTTACACCCATGTTATAACATATCAAGACCTCCTAAATTAAAAGATAAATAGCAACTTTTTTTTTTGGGTTTTTTTTTGTGGCCATGTGGTGGGGGGGGGGGGGAAAACCTAATAGAGAGAGTACTAGATGAGATAGCTTCATATTACTCCCCCACTTTCTTAAATTGACAAAGTTTCTTTTCTTTTCCTTTCCTGAATATATAGGAGCTAGGATCTTAATAGCCCCCCGATTTTTTATGCATTGGGAAGTTTTCCATGTTGAAACCAAAAGAACAGTTAACCTCGTTTTCACAGGGTAGGCCAATTGCCACTTGTGTAACCAGTAACAACTAACAACTGCTCATTGGCTAGATTTTGGTTACTGAAGTTCAAAATCTACCACTTTCTTCATCTTATATCTCCACTTGCAAAAATCAATAGTTGGAGACAATAGAACATGGAACCTAAATTGTCGAAACACAGTGGCTCCTCCTCTCTCAAGTCAAAAATTCAGGAAAGGCCACCAGTCCAGAACTTTTTTCTTCTTCGCTTTTGGACAAAAACTAACTCTAGCATCTACTTGGCATGAAGTTTAGGTTTACTTATAGCTCAGACTGGGAATACTACAAGTAATAAGACTGTTCTTGGGGCAAACATATTGTTTGCTAAAATAAAAAGAAAAACCAGACATGGGATAAATTACCGGTATCTCATTCATTCCCTTTGGGCCATATCCAGCTTCTGGAGGAACAACCACAGTCCTCTTCACAGCAAGAATGAAAAATCAAAAGCAAACAGGACATTAGTAAGAAGACTGAACATCGAACACAAGAAACAGAGGCATCTAACAAGAAGTGAAACTACAAGTGCTTTTGGTGTCAAACTGTCACTAAAAATAGAGTGCATCATCACCTTTCCCCCAACTTTCATTCCTTCAGTTATTGTGTACATGGCCTTCGGAGGCTTTGGTGCAGCCTGTGCAGAAAATAAACCATTTGGATTGTCTACAAACTCACGCTTCCGTTCTTTTCCTGGGAGAGCCCCAACCTGGAACTCGTAAGGCTATTTGAAAAACAAAACAAGTTTCAGTCAGTAGTTATTCCATTCACCCCTGAGTTTCACAATATGCTCCTGCATTAACTGACCATTATGGAATTATAATGCTACTGTCGACAGACAAAAGATAGAGAAAACCTGAGCAATGATGCGATTTCCAGCCAAAAGCTTAGATTCTCGACTCGACACTGCTGTAATACCGCGGTACAGGCAGTCAAAATGAACCTATAAGGGTAGATTACAGAAGGTCAAAGTTGATTTCATTGGCCAGAAGCAGATGAAAGTCAGCATCCAACACACCTGCACTATTGATCCTTTTTCAGCAACAGGACCCCTTCCTTCAACGATATCATAGTATTTTAGTCCGTCATCTGTGTCAAAAGAAGTTATACAGACCAAACAAAAACAAAGATGGAGTGCTCATGCCTGATCATATGAAAACTACCAAATTTGTTTGAAAGCTAAATTATAATACGACAGACTTTATTGCAATTAATAGTGAATGGATACTTCACCGCCTTGTTTCATTTGACTCGGACATTATTGAATAAATAGCTCTCACAGCTTCAGTGCAAAGTACTTTTTCAAGGCACCTAGACAGTTTGAGCTGAGATTATCAGCCTTATCCATCTCAAAGCAAAAGCAAGAAACCTTTAGATACCACTAGTTGAAATCAAAACTGAAAGCAAGGAAAACAGCAATGGGTAGGGAGGCACAGCTCTAAGTAAAATTTCTTGTGTGGTGACACTGTAAGTGATATTTGGGGAAGAAATTTCATTCATTTCTTTTATCCTAATATCCAGAGATGTAGCCGGAACATGACATTAGGCAGTCAGTAATTAGTCAATCCTCGGGCACTAACAGAATGCAAAATAAACAGAACCACCCTCAATTTTACTACTTCACATTGTTCTCAAAATCAACAGAGTATTGTGATATCTGTCCTCAGTGCCACCCATAAGAGAACCTTAAACAGTTTTCCAACCATCACTAGGCAGAAATTGGTCTAGAGAAGGAATAAGATTCGTTCATCAGAGCCACGGCCATGTGGGAAAGTATGGTTCAAATTGCCTGCCATGGTGAATCGTAAAGCAGCAAAACTGGAAGCTTAGGGCTAAAAAGAAGATTTCTTTTCCCACCCAAGCCTCACACTCATGTGGAGCTCCTAAAATTTCGTCAAGCCTCACAGAATGAAATTGCAGTCTGACTGGTACTCTACAATCAATCATCGAAGTATATCTCTTCTCAATAACACCCAAATATGGTACACCAAAAGCAAAACTGGCAAATCATTGAGTTCTGGCAAATCCAATTTAATCAACTTGATCTGAAAAATTTGTGGTTTTAGGAGGAAAATTCTGAAGAGAAATAATCAGATGAGCAAATTTTAAATGACGATGGGGCTAGGAAGTTTTAGGCTATGGAAACAAAGAGAAGTGCATCTTGCGGAACAGTAGGAAAAAATGAAAATGAAAATTCGAAGAGATAAGGTGCGAGCATTAAAGAAAGGAGTCAAGAACACAACTTTTGAGGCTTTTCGCAGCTCAAAACAACGTAAAGAACGATTACCACTTGGGCCTTAAGATTGCTGCTTACTGGTCTTTATTGGCTACATGATTCGAAGATTACATAGAAAGATTCCAACATAACAAACAGAGAGATGAACCAAAAGGTGAACGACTACAAAATTAGCAAAAGAACAAACCAAAATTAGCAATGAAATGCTACAAAACAAAGTCACTCTCTTGGGAAATACCATAAAACAAAACAAACACAGTGAAATACTACGAAATCAAAGTCACTCTGTTGTGTATACGGAAATTAGCAAGAATAAGTGAAATAAAACAACAGAAAGATGAACCAGGAAAGACTGACAGCTGGTGAGGTAATCTTCGAGAGGAATGGCCTTTTTGGTGCGCCTCTCTCTGGCTAGCAATGGATGGATGGGCAGAGTAAGGTTGAGAGGAGGCAGCAGGGATATCAAAATTGCGGACCTTCTGGAGATGATCATGGGCACTGGCAGCACAACAAGTTGCTTTGTTCGGCCGGTGGCTTCAACCGAACCATGCCAAGCACTGCTAATTCTACTAGTAATAAAGCATTTCTCCAAGCTGTGGAATGAAGCCATGGAACAACTCCAAATTAACCACCACCAAGGTCCAAGTTTTTCTTGGGTCCTTTTCCCTCTTTCGCGATTTCTGTTCTGTTAGCATAAAATGTGTTTATCCATCTGCATTATCCGCAACCCCGTTTGCACTGAATTTGTGGCGACTACAAGCACTCAACCATCATCCGCTTCGTCTTCGGTAAATATTCGCTTGCAGGCTATAAAGGGTCCACGGATTTCATTTTTGGGTAATTTTCATAGACAGCCCCTGAGGTTTTAGAAGTGGCAAGTAGCGACCAAAAGTTTTATACAAAATTGGGACGTGTCCATTCATGATTCATCCATCATTGCGTGAACAATTTTATACGGAAAAAAAAAAAATACTGGTTCACCTTGTATTTGCCTTTCTTCTTCTTTTTTCCAATAAAATCACTTAGAAGAAATCATTTATACATCGATCGGTAGTGTATATACTAACGAATTTCTTTAAATATATGATATATATATATAATTTTTAATGTTTAAATTCAAATTTAAATGATGTGATATTTATTCAATTCCATCGACACATATATTGATAGTATAGAAAAAATTAATTCAATTAACCTTTTATATGCTGACAGGACGGGGTATATATATATCATAAATGATATATATAATATATATTGTTACCCCGTTCTTTAGAAAAAATGACGGTGGAATTCTTTAGGAATGCAGTTTTGACTCAGTGGCGTTGGTGCCATGGATTTTGGGGGTTCATTTAGACAGCACAGCAGTACAAAATCATCCATCCTGAAATGTAAAAATGTGAAGAAGACGCTGAAAAAGAAGGAAGAAAACTCTAACGAGCTGAGCTGGCCAGCTGGGGTTGGTATACATTATGCTATGAACAGGTGCAATTGTTCTCTCTTCCACCCAAACAAAAGAAAGAAAGAAAGAAAAAAAAAAAAGCATCAGCAGCGGCAAGTAAGAACTAAGAAGGGCTTTTTGACCTTTTCTTAGGCTAGGCCTGGCCCCCTCATCCACTCTCACAATAAATAGTGATACACAAATATATGGAGTAATATACAAGAAGGGTGAGGTCAGGAAGTATGGCTATCAAAATGGGGTTCCTGAGTGTCTGATCAGGGGGCGCTGAGCAGATCACCGACATCGTTGGGAGGAGGAGTATGAGGAGGGTCGGGAATGTCCACACTGGCAGTGATGTTAGCCGCGCTGCTATGCTGCCCGTGGGGCTTCCGCAACTCCAAACCACTCATCTCCAAGCCCGACGTCGACGATGGACCTGCAGCAAGCTTTGGGGAATTCTCGGGCGATTCGACGGGGCTCCCTCCCAGCCTCTGCTTTTGAGGCGTGCCGGGCTTGACGTTGTTTTTCTTTTTGGCGTTCAAAGTCCATTTCGTGAGCGCCTTTTTAGTTTGTTCGTCGAATATGGATTTCTTAATATGCGAACCCATCTGAGAAGAAGAATCAGAAAAAAAAAAAATTAAGCACCTCTCATTCACTCACTTAACACACCTGATCGTTCGAAAGTGGATCAGAAGAAGACTACAAGAGCGTAGCTGACCTGTGTAACGAGAGCGTAGAGGGGAAGTGTGATGTAGCTGCACAATACTTGGACGGCTACCCTGCTCCAACATGATATTACTTATGAATTTGAGTCATGAAACTTATTATTAATGATAAAAAAAAAAAAAAAATTTGTCAACCACGCAAACATCAGAGAGAGACTCCAGTCCATTGTTGCTGCTAAGTAGTAGTAGTATAGTATTACTTACCCATGACAACTCTCAGAATGGAAAGTTCGAGGCCCTCGTAAAAGCACGAATGGATGCCAAATTCATACTGCAACACACACACAAAAAAAACTACCATTATTGTTATCTACCCCTGATTCCTCCAACTGCAGTAAACGTAAAAAGTACGTAGAAGCCACTTTCATTACCGTCGTCCAAATGAGGAATGTTATCTCGAAGGCATTCTGCAACATAAAAGACAGAACCCAACCGAACCATAATTAGATGCTACGTACCGACAGAAAAAAGCCAACTTATGTTAAAAAGAAAGGGCCAATTTATCATTACATTATTATGTTTTGTACCTGGAAGAGGGTAAAATGGATAAGATGTAGGATGAGATGAGGTCTGCTGAACCAAAAGTGTCTGTCTGAGACTTGAACAAGGGGTATGCCCTGGACTACAGCATGTCTTTCTTGGATTTCAACCGCCATCTGTGTTATAATTGCCTGCAGCTTCGTGCCAACTGCTAGTATGGTCTTTAACCAAATTATGTTAGTTATTCCCACCTCTGTTCCTTTTCTGTATTCCTTTACCTTTTTTTTTTTTTTGTTTGTAAGCACCGGAACAAAGCACCGGAACAAAGCACCAGAACAAAGCATAAAACTCTTACCACTAGGGGCATTAGAGACAGCCACATCATAATCTGTGATCCTGAAACAAGTAATATACATGGAGTTGGCCTTCACCTTACGATGCATCCACACACATAGTTTTAAGACCTCATCTCAAATATATATATATAGGATCGACAAAGAGTATACAATGGGGAAGGAAGGAAAACCCACCGCCTACATTGAGTAGCAGATAGATCACTGCTGAAGCCCATAATGTTGGACTAGAAGGAAAATTTTAAAAAAAAAAAAAAAAAAATCAGATGGGGCTTATTTGTGGCTCATATCAAAAGCAACATGTTTATTTCAACCTTATACTGTAGCTCTAACAATACATAAAAAAGCGGTACCTGATTCCCACAACGATCTTGAAGTCATCTTCTAACGACCTTCTGATGTATTTTTGAAAGTCAAACTTACTTCCTGGAGCCAAATGGACCTAAAGCAGCATAAAGAGTATTATTATGCATATTTCTGAAAATCCAAGAATTCAGAAATTCTGGATTTTAAGAAACTTTACCGAAATGAATCCATGGCGCATGGTCATGTAGTCAGCTTTACGAACGGACCTAAAAAATTGTCGGTAAAAGCATACCTGAAAGGCTTGAGCTTGTTAACAGTCAGGTCAAAGTAAGGACATTTGAAGATGGTAAATCAGAAACTGCATCAAATATACTACGTCAAGTCTGCCAACAGCCTCTTGGGCTGCTGGTACCACCAAGACATGCCTCCCACCTTGCCACTTAATCGTGGCGTCCTCCGACAGGAAAATCCCGTCGGCTCCCCCTCCCCTTGGACTACACAAGATCATACTCAGATAAACAGACCTTCATACTGAACAACACAACTGCCTCGATACTTTCCGTTGACAAATAGAAAGGATACAAGCTGTTCCTACATGGTGTTTCCAAAATGGAGACATATAACGGTGGACAATTTTGCATGGAGTAAAATTGAGTTTTCTACTTGAACTCTATTCTGATTCACAGAAATCTAATTCTCAGCCAAAAAGAAGAAATTTAAAGACTGTCTGATGTCAGTAAAGCAAGATGATATTATTGTCATTTCGTACTAGTATAGTATAATACATTTGTTGGATTATGAGAGAGAGAGAGAGAGATCTGGAGAGAGTAGCAGCAGCAGAAGCATGGAATCAGGACCTCATCTAAGTAATCCTTGGGTTATCATACCAACTTTTAGAACAACTTCTATGTAAATAACAGTTCCAGGACAAGTCACACTTGCATCCATTCTTTGTCAGACATACAGACATAAGTTTAAACCACATAGAGTAGGCAATGTATTATCCCATTTCTTTTAGTTTGTGAATGTGCTTCTTTCTTCTATAAGGGCATAAACGGAATATGAAGAGAATTTATTGACTGCGAATAGGCATTTTGCAGGCGAAGTTACACCATTTTTAAGGGTATAAAAAGTTTGGCCATTTCCAGAAACCAATTTATTAGGAAAATCAATGGTCTTTCTTTCTGCTAATAATGATTTTACCATTTTCTAGTAGTTGTAGTTCGCATGTGATCGGATGCTCAAAGTAACCTCCGCTTAAAGTTCATAGAATACAAGGCAAAAGAATAAGGATCACTGGAGTTATGAACTCAAAGGATCAATCAAGAAGAACGCTACTACGATGAGCATGAAATTTTATCTAAACAGTGCAACATCATTTTAGGGTCATTTATTTCTACCCTGGAAAAATGGAAACACTGAAGCGACCCATAAAATGACATTAATTGTTCTTACAGGGTAAAATAGTATGGGGTTTCTGGCCATGGAACCAGTATTGTCTCTAACAAATGATGTCTCGTGTGTAAGCCTGAATCTTGAATTATCTGCAAGACAGGGACACAAAAGAAGCAGACAGTTTTAGAACAAAAGTACTAACCTTACCATCCTTAGGGTCTCAGATTATCCAGGGACAATTGACGCACTGTAACTTGGGGGAAAAAAAGACGTCGAAAAATAAAAATGTAACCATCAGACACTACCGTTGGATGCTTCAGTTTCACGAACTGCCTCCCGTTCCCATTCCTTCCATCCACGAGTCTATGCATAATACGAACCACTTAGTAGAGATCAAATTCAATGAAGACACAGGGCAATAAAAGATGGTCTACATTGGAAACTCAAGCGTATGATAAGGGAGACTTCTGCTGACCAAAGCAGGTCAAATTAATCTCAGGACATCTCCTAATTCTTCTCCTACTCGTGTGCTACTGTTTGTGCCAATGTTAAGAAGACCATACCACATGACAAAAAGACTTTAAAGAAATCCCACCTGCAATCTTCCAAGGGTCATCGTCATGGCACCAAAAATTACATGGAATACGGCCAAGAAAAATATGAAGATATGTAGCTGGTGCAACCCATTGACAGATATAACAGGTACATATTCCTGTCATGAAAAATCTCTTCTGTTTTAGCGCCAAAGAGAGAAAATCCATAGTCGGTACACAATGGATGCTCTTATGAAATGTTCAACATCTACGGATGTGTAAGTCTGAGAATTGGTAATTTAAATGCAGATGAAAATCTTACCATTACTTACACTTGTACCTGGAGACTGATAGAAGATGCTTCTTTGGTAAATACAGATGTTATGCTCAGCTAAGTAAAAGGGGACTCTCAAATACATATGTTATGCTCAACTAAGTATATTCTCACCAGAAAAACCGTGAGTTGTGTATTTTGCTCTTCCATGAGCTTCCTACTATAGCAAGTTAACTGAAAACATCTGGATGGTACCGAACTCATGACAATTCAATCTGGGCAATGTGCACTGT